GTGACATAAATGTTAGCTTCCAGATGTATTAACATATTTTGTCTTGTTCAAGATGATAACGACATTGGCATCTGTCCAACAGATCAGTAGCTGTCCTGGGTGCAGAAAACCGCTGCCAAGGTGCGCCCTCTGTCTCATGAACATGGGAACTGCATCAGGCACTAATGCTGCTAAACCCAACAAGGAAGAGAAGCAAGGTGAGGTTTGAGAAATGTTGTGGTTCAATAAGAATTCATGTAATACTGATTAAAACTTATGGCTCAAATTGCTACAGTGTTAGAATATATTCAATGCTGAAATCTTATTCATCTTCATTAATGGTGCATTTTGACTTAGTAGATGCAGGAGCAAATGAAAAGACATTGCTAGAAAAGTTGCTACAAAACTAATGTATTAATTTATCCTGTTTCTTCTCAGATTATACCAAAGAAGCGAAACAGAACAAGTTTGGGAGCTGGTTCACCTGGTGTCAGACCTGCAGACATGGAGGACATGCCAACCACATGATGGAATGGTTCAGGTGAGGAAAAACATATGTCCTTGCTATAGCAAAGAAAGGAAAAGAACAAAACAGTGATACCTGGGACAAGTAAGTTTTGCCCTTCTCAACACTACAGCACTATCTTGCACTAAATATGGGGAGAAACCTGGTCTATGAAATGTCAGAATGATTGTTTATATTGTTTCGCCCTTCATAACACTAAGCACTAAGCTGGTGTGTTATGCTGAAGGCGGTTATACCGGCTATACCCGATACTATCTTCCACTAAATTTGGGGAAAATCCTGGTCTATGAAATGCCAGAATAATTGTTTATATTGCTGTGTTTCCAGAGACCACACGGAGTGTCCCGTCACAGCGTGCCACTGTAAGTGTATGTCCCTGGACTCAGTAGGAACTGTCACCTCTGCTGAAGAGACCATCGTTAAATGATAGCCTGTGCTTCCACATTCACATGTCAGGGCTCAAAATACCTTTTTCTTCAGACCTGCACTGGTAATATGCAAAATCACCTGCACATTTAGCATTCTGATAGCAAACAGTAAAGGAAACTAACATCTGTATAGACCTACAGGTTAGGCAGAGGTAGACTTCAGATATACCTGTACAAGTCCAATTTTACCTGCACTAACCTGCGTATGCAGTTGGTATTTGGAGCCATACATGTACATACAAACATAAGTGACAAGGAGAGCTGGCCTTCCATGTATGTATGTTCACCTCTTACCATTGCCAAGTTTCAACGTGCAGCTACTGAAGTATGAAACCTTTTGTCAGGCTTGTTAACATCAAGCGATATCACTCTTAAAGACATCCAGTGCAATTTTATGGCAGCAAAACTTTTCTGTTCATTCTTTTAATCCGATTAAGTTGAATCAATCCTATCCTATGGCATACTAATACATTGTATTTGAGGCAAAAATGTGATGTCACTGACGGAAAATGGTCGCTTGTTTTGTACCATAGGCTGATTCTAGTTATTAATGGCGTTACCCAAAAAATAAGGAGATGCACATAGCTTGTTGGGGGCTATTTCAAACACTTTCGGCAAAAATGCTTTAAGAAATAGCAGTATCATTACCAGACAGATTTCCTCATCCTGGATGTTTTGCTGCCGTGAAATTGCTTGGATGCCTTTAATTTCACCAATTTAAAAGGCCAGTGAAATGACACATGCAAATTTTCAGTCATTTTAGTCAGACCTATGGTGGGACTCCATATGATCTGCACAAAATCTACTGCAAGAAGACAGGTATTGTTCTGGTTAAGGGTGCTTACATGTAGCTGTCATGGTTTTACATGACAAAGTATCTCAGTGTATATTGTACATGATATACACCCTATGCAGGGGTTTTGTAGTTTCATGCCAAGATTAAGACATACTAACTAGTAAATGGTGAAAGTCAGCTTTTACATATAGTACAACATATTGAGTTCTTTTGTTTGGGTTGCAATTCAATTGTTTCAGTGAAACAAAATACATGTACTGGCCAAACTGTAAGATTTAAATTTAGAATCGCATCAGTGCAGTGAACAATACAATAATGTAAGAAGTAATGTGACCACTTCAAGGCGTATAATTAATACAAAGTGAAATAAAAGGATGTAGTGACGAAATGTATTTCGTTGAAAGAATGTACATGTAGCAAAAGCTGTGTTACACAATTCTACACTGACAACTATATGGATTTCTGTGTAGTTATAACATGGGCTATAACTAAGAAATCAGACCAACAAGCAAGCACTGTAACAGATGGTAAGGTATGTATAATATATACTGTGGAAGACTGTAGGTTCTCAAGTTACAAGAAGATATACAAAAAGAGCTATTTTGTCAAATCTGCTAGATAGAATAGTGTGTAGTGATAGATGTACAGAGATAATATGAGCAATAAAACTGGTTAAGCCCATGTCAGAATTGAACTGACCAAAGTCTTTGTGTTTTCTTTGTTTTCAGACTCATAATTGAAAGACTTTAGTATTTTGACTTATAAATTCACACCTTACACTTTGAATTGAATTCAAAATACAAACAATAAGTCATATAACAGTAAAATATGCTTTTGTGGTGACTCCATGAAAAATTTTCAACACATTTTGAATAAACAGTATTACAGACACTTAGCGTTTCTTAAAGTACTCTTTTGTTTCCCCCTTACCAACCCTATCTTTTGATATCACTATACCATAAAAGATCTGTATTTTAGTCAAATCTGTAACAAAATTGCAGGTTTTCATCGTCTCAATTTACAGGTATATTCAATGTAATGTCCTTGCACTTAGTGCATGGTTCACAATGGTCCAAACAGTTCTGTGTGTCCTAGAAGTTACTGCTCTCAGAGAGTGGGTAGTATTTGCTGTGTTCCGTTGCCAGCTTGATGGCTTCATCATACAAGTTCATGTCTGCAAACAAGAGAAACCATGTGTTAATCATTTAGGTTTCTTATCGCTATATTTAGAGAATACAGAATAATACAACTTTGTTTTGGTCTAAATACGAGTGATTGCTATGAAGTCACGACTAGCTAGTGGTAGGCAAAAAAATGGTGTTGGTTGACTGATTTGCATATAATTTGCATGTACTAAGTATAAGTACAAAAACAGTGATCATCGCTCATATTGGTCACTTATATAGATATCACATTAATGAAATGATGTGGGATACCACCACTCTTAGTCTTAGGAACTGAGTAACAATATATTACATTCAACATGTAGAATATACAAAATCCTGAGTAAAATTCTATCACTTTGCATTAAAAATACGTTAGGAAGAGTTGAACTGACCGAAGTCTCCCCCAAACAGGATGTAGCTCTGACAGGTGACTTGACAGTTGTTGGTCACCTCCCCGACAATCTCCACCGTTCCTGATACCATCTCCTCTAGCTGGAACAAAAGCAGCAGAAATTCTTTCATGATACAAACTTATTTTATTTCAATAAGACTATACACATTCCCTGTGTAAGAAGATCAAACCAATCAGCTGGTTCTTAATGTACAACCTGTTTACCAGCTATGTAATGCAAACAAACAAACAAACAAACAAGATTAAGACAAGTTAGACCAACACCATTGACAAATTATAAGGTTGGGATTAGTACTTGACTTACATGTGTAGCTGTTGGGTTAGGAAATTATTTAAACTTCCTTGGTTAAGGATATGACATGACCTAGTGGTTGGTCTGACTTGTTCTAATTTGACATGGTCCGAGTTGACAAATTTTTGGTCTGACATCAAACAAACAAACAAACAAACAAACAGGAAAAGCCTTACCGGTTCTGGTAGGTTAATCTGTACCCGCTGTCCGTCACTTGTCTTTACTGCAAACATCAAACCGTTTGGATCCACCTGAGGGAACAGAACAGATTATTCAGAATTTTCATAGACATGTCCACAAAAGTGTACCATAAGGATTTTTCAACAAACACTCCTGCAGTTCAAGAACAAGCTTCTAGGGGCCCCAAATGAATGTCAATTCTTCCTGAGCAAAAGAGCTGTGTACTATCCAAAATTCCTGACTCTAACATGCCTAGATCACCAAACAAGCCAAATGCTAATCATTTCGATCATGGAGGAAGAAAACACATGTTTCGATGTCTCATCAAGACCTACACATGTACCAACCAACCTACCAAGTTTTGAAACATTACTGACAATCCATCCAAAGCTTCTTGAGTTATCCTCCTAAAACACACACACACCTATGCTTCAAAAGTTAAAACATTGTCACTCATAAACTCTGTACAACTACAGAAGTGTACAAGTGGGAGGGGGGCACAGCATACTCACGTCCATAACTTCCCCCAGCAGACAGACGAACTTCCCGATGTGCTGCGGCAACATGGACGCGTTCACCCGCGGTTTGGCCTGCTCAAATGCTTCCCCCATCGTCAATAATCACCTCAAGCTCATGCAAATATCATACGTATGAAAACGAGTAAGTTTTTGGTAATTTTACGTGCTGGACGAAATCTTCTGTCTTCCCGAAGCAAAAAATGGCGCGTAAATGTTCAGCATGCGCGGTGACCTTTGACATCCAAAATGGCGGACGCGGGTAAGTTTGTTGACGTGTTTATACAAGATTTGCACAATTTAAGCCACGATTTTTTCGCCCTTTTCTCAATTTTATCGCTCACCGAATACCATTTACTCATTCCCTGCAATCTTAACTATTGGAAAAGTTATTAAACTAAATGTGACAGTCGAAACTTCTTGGAATTTTTAACAAAATCTGATGCACCGTTATGCGTTACATGACAGTGAGTCACATAACCTATTTTTAACACACACTCAACAACAATTCACTACTTTTTCTGAGAGACAAGAAGTCATTCAGACTATCTCAAAATGGGTTCTTTGTCTCTGCAGTATTTCTCGCTCTTCGGAGATAGACACCCCGGCAGCCCTGCACAGGGAAGTTGTGGTTCCCAGAGGATGATTTCGTTGTTCGGTGGCCGGAGAGGGTCGAGGGGTCAGCAGACGGGCGTGACCAGCCGGGACAGTCAGCAGGACAGGTCAGGGGAGAGGAGACTTCTGAAGTTTTCATTTTCATGTGGACTGTCGTTTCTCTTCTTACGTCTTGCTTTTAATCGTGTTTTTCTGGGTGTAAAGAGATCCGAGTCAGATCCAAACTGTATTGTATACGACCTTGCAAACGGACAGACTGACTGAAAAATCAGTCATTATGTAATGCTTAATTGAATTTTTTACTAACTTAATTCCTTTAACTGTATTTCGAAAGATACCAATAACCATTGATGTGAAAATACAACAATGTGCTTGGTGGTAACTTTCAACTTCAAAACTTACCGTATGTTTGATTGACTCGTTACATTGAATCGAATATACTAACAGTTATAAAGAAACAATCAACATATATGACAGATGATTTTCCATGCATGTATTTTTGGCTATCCTTGTGTATGTGTTTTGTAATTCCCAATATTGCCAGACATCCTCAGTCATTGCTTTTATTTTCCTCTGTGGGACTATATAGGCAAGGGTTACAAATCAGTTATCTGTGTAAAGTAACAGGGTTCAGTCTCCACCTAATTATTTTAATGCTTGTATCTGCAGGGAAGAAGATGGGTTTGTTCTCCTGGGAGAAACTGCTATAGAGAGGACAACAGTGCAGTATGGTCAGGAACTGCCAGGTGGCACTGCTCCACCACCAGCGTATCATCAGGTACAAACAACAGGATTTTTAATATCATCAGTTAGTAGAAATTCTTCGATCAGTGACTGTATTTTTGTAAGGTAGATTACGTACCTCCAAAGTTTTGGTGTCGACTGTACACCTTGATCACGGAGTGACCTAGTCTCGCGAGAACATGAGACTAGGTCGAGACTTTTGTGGATCTTCTGACCTCCCCCGCCTCCTTGCGGAGTAGGGGTAGGTAGGACTTGGGCAGCTCCCAACCTTCATTGCGATTCATCCCGGCACGTTCCAACTGGATGTGGACCGCTTCCTTAGTCTTTCTATGTGCCTTCCGGGATTCCTGGTCTATGATCTTAACAATGTCCAAGATAGGGCCATTTGTGACCCTATGTCCAGCTTTGAGTTCATGTTGGCTATCATGTTTTTATATGAAGAAAAAATACATGCATGTTTCTTAAGGAAATATCAGGTCTTTTTGTGTTCCCATGGAAAGTTAGGATAAAGCTTTTAAGCAATCTTAACACTCTTAAAATTTTCTTTGGACAACCTTTTGCGTCAAAATATGACGGTGAAGGTTAGACATCCAGGTAAAAAGTAAGCCAAAAAACAGTTGCTCAAGCAACTGGATATGATTTTCGAAACAGTCAGACGTTTCAGGTAGCATAAGCATCCACTACCTTTCATCAGTGACTCTAGAGACTTGCAGGAGTCAAAGGTTTAAGAAATTATGGCACTCTATGTACTTGTACACTATTAAGTTGTAACACTTTATGGGCATCCTATTTCCTCAAATTGGTACCAGTGCACATTAACATTATAGTGCCCACTGACAAACTGAAACTGCAATCGTCAGCTAGAAATGTCACATTTTTCTGAACAGAATTTGTGAACAAGTGCACAATATAATTTCCCATCTGTCACATGATGCATTTATGATTTGTAAATAAAATTTTTAGATGATACTGGAAGGCTTTACTGTAGCCCACTATCTACACACTGAAATGCTCTTAAACTCCACCAACCATACAGGTCAATTATGTACTTGTGTCAGCCAGTGTTGGCTTTAGTGGCTATTACTTTGAACAAACGTGCCACGCCAGGGCAGTGCATTAGTTTCAAAACATTGGTGTTTCCACTATGATTTTTAGCACCCATTCCTGTCCAACTCAATTCCCTGCCTCCTATTACCGCTAGAGCCATTTCCGCCGTTCTATGGGTTTATTACCACCAAACAGTCTCAAGCCTGGCCATTTGGCTACAATTTCATCTACTGCCCATCTGCTGAGAGCT